CCCGTTCCAGCATTCCAACTTCCTTGGCTTTGTCATCGTAAGTTTATCCGAGGCTCATTTCCATTGGGATTTTGAGCTGTTTTTTTGTTTTTTCCAAGAATGGGGGTCCTGTCCTCATGTCTCAACCCCCTTCCAGGAGGACCAGGTAATTTTCTTTTAGGGTTTTCTTCCCTTAGATTGACTGTCTTGGGGCTCCTTGATTGGACTCGAGAGTTCAATCTACTCCTATCTGAAGCACTTCTGTTTCTGAAAAGGAAACAAAATTAATGGGAATGATACAGCTAAGGATAGGTAACATAAACCTCCAAGCTACTCAATCCACCCATTGGCTTCTGGAGGTTAGGAAAGGATTTTAGGTAAGGAGGATATCTTACAGGTACGGATATCTTATGGTAAACAGACAGTGGTTAGCCACTCCTTTCTAGGTAGGAAAAAACAGGCTAATTGCTGTCTTCCCCACCCACCGGAAAGGGCATACTACATGTCTACACCAAAGTTACAAGGTTCTTCACTACCATATAATATAGTTGAATTATGAATATAATTATGAGCAAAAAGTGGTGGCAGCAATTGAAAACTAGAAATTTTCTCTCCCAAGTATATCTTGTCTAAGTTGAGAATGATATTTACAGGAATGCTTTCTGTGTTTACTGCAGAAGCGACTGAGACAGAGATATAAGGATAATCAACTCAAAATAAAAAATGGGACCCTGCCAAACTTGCGCGGAAAATAGCATGATTTATTTCATCACAAATCTAGTATCTTCCCCATGAATATTTTAATTGTATTTGGACTTGTCTGCACCTCTTTCTGGAAGAAATAAAAGTTTACTTTTCTCTGCAAAATAATTCAAAATTTTGATCGAATTCCTTCGATACAGGAAATGTGTACTGTAACATTCATATAAATCGTTTAATTTAACTTTAGAAGTTTCTCAGAATATATACCAAAAAAATTATTTTTTATGTAAGATGCATCTACCACCATAATGCAGAATATTGTAGATACTTATTGCAGTAAAGTTAATGTTTTGGTGCTTTATTGCATACCTAACTAATCGCATAAAGACTACTTAAAATGAGACGAATGAAGAATACCAAATGTTGAAGTTCAATGAATAAGTACTAAAAATTTGATATAAAAAGAAAGCATTTTTTATTATATTCTTACACTAGAATGGGAAAATAAATAAAAAAATTTAATTAATAATAAAAAAATTTAAAAAACATATAGACAAAGCGTCTTACCTGCGCACAAAGTGTCACTCCTTGACGAGAACTTATATTGCTCGAAGCTACACCGATAAACAACTCACTTTGCGCTCCTCCTGACTTTCATTAGGGAAACTGACTATATTGGCCCATGTGTACACTTAGTTCCACAATGTGCCGCAATTGTCTCCTTCATTCTTTGCTTGGTCAAGTAATAATGGAAAATAATGTATTTACATCAACAATCTATAAATTTGATTATTGCTGACAAAATATCTGCCTCCTCCCCACCCTTCCCCTTCCTCAACTAGCAAAACGAGAGCTCAAAAAACGTGTTCATAGTGAAGCTACAGTTTACAGTCAAGTAGCAAAGAAGATGCTATCCCAGTATTTGATCTTTGGATGAAGGTAAACTATTTGAGAAACCTGTTCCAGATGGGGGTCCTTGATCTAGAAGCTGAAGTACAATATGTGTCACACGCACATTTAGTCTTTTAGAATTGAAGGGCTTGGTCAGCAACAAGTAGATACAATACGTAAGTCAGAACAGCCATAGAGAGATTCCCACTATTCATAAATGTTAATATCTTGCTTTTGGTGAAAGTGTGGCTTACCTTGTTACTATATGTCATATACTACATATTTATGAATAGCATGGAGCAATCACAAGATGAGACACACTGCAATCAAAATGAAGTTAATAACAGTAAGAAAATGTTGATGAGTTTAAATTCTTCTTCTTAGCACAAGAAGTTGTAGATACATACAGGATCGTGGATAGATAATGGAAAGGAAATCTCCACTTCCATCCTGATGTACTCTTTTGACTGCCCTTCTCTTCTGGGATGAAGGGATAACCTTTGGGTGCACCAATACGTGCCGAACCCTCTACACTGTTATAAGTGCCAGAAGTTTTGCCACACCATGCAGCGCTGCATGTCTGGCCACCTCATGTGCACCAGGTTTGGTGAAACAACGCATGAGAAAACACCCTGATCCTCACATCTCCTGGAGTAAAATGCAAGTGTGATCATGTGGCAACCGCTAAACAGTGCTCAATCTTCATTGGTGAATGGAAAATTCAGAAAATCAGGGTGACTGACAAGGTTTCATTTCCGGAAGCTAGAATGCTGTACCAGATAAAATGGCCTCTGGATGTGACAAGAACATGTTCTTCTGTGCTATCTCAGTCCAAGAAGGCATCAAACAACCAAATAGAGCTTGCTGCTCCTTCAGTGGCTAATGCCAAATGCCACAGTGCTAATGCCAGGTTTTTCCCTTTGTTCTCCCTACAAAAGCATTACCATACATAAGCAACTAGGAATATTAATTCATTGGTGAAATAGTTTTAGTAAATATTACTTGTACTCTTAAAAATTCTGTGAAGAATTCCAATGCATTTGTAGTTTAACTATGATAATTTATTGATCTCCTGAAGGGGGGGGAAAAATTAATATTTTATTTTATTGAATTTCAATTTAACAGGCAATTTGTGCAAATGAGTATGTAAAGAACTGGTAAATCATATTACAAGTCAATTACTCCGAGTACAAGTTCGCATTAAGTTCACATCAAGTATCGTTCATATTATTACATGTATATAAGTGATTATAGAAAACAAAACAATAAACTAGAGCACTACAATGAAAATTACAGCAATAGGAACATTAAGAAGATACTAATTTCAAGTACAGCTCACATTTGAAAGTAATATAAAAAATAAAACACTATAATGAAAATCCAGGAATATTGAAAAAATGAAGAAAATTGTACCAAACATTAATTGCATAGTATAAGAAATTCCAACTTAAAAAAGATTACACTTCACATCATTGCTGAAAAATGCATCATTTGACAAATGAAAATGTATATTAGACTTATTAGCAGTTATACATATTCTGTTAATAGGGTTGTTAGCTGTGTATGAACATTTATAAAACTTCTGAGCAAAAATTTATGGTCTTCTGGTATTTAAGTTGGGAACTTTAAAACTCAATAAATTCAGCAAAAGTGAACAATCAATAGTACTATTTAAAAGTTTATGCAAAAACATATCAACAAAACCAATATAAAATTTCAATGAAGGTATATACAAATGTGAAACTTTGATATTATAATTTTGCAGATCCTGAACCCCTACAAGGTATGCAGCAAGTCTAAAATACGTATGCTGAACTGTTTCAACACTAGAGATACTGTTCAAAAAACAAGGTGACCAAACAACAAGAGCACATCAGTACTGGTCTAATCAAAATCAAATAAAGTGATCTCAATACTTGTTACAATTACAATTCAATGCAGGAACACTTAATAAAGTCTAGCATCTGATTGGCCTTATTAACTGTAACATGAAGATGATCTTTAAGAGACATTTTGGTGTCAAAAACAACACCAAGATCCTATAACACAATTTTATCGTGAGATATAATGATCTTAAACGTTTTTAGGTCATCAGCAAAACGAAGAAATGCAACCTCTCTTATAATATCACTAACATCATTTAGAATTATATAAAACAATAGGAGACCAAACAATGGGAACCTTGGGATACCCCAGATAAAACATCTATGGGTTCAGAAGAAGCATTTCTAACAGACATATATACTGTATGTCACAACCCAATAAATAATGTCTAAACCATTGAAGTAGAGATCCACATATATCAAAACTTTGCAACTGTCAAGATGTAATGATTCACTGAATCGAAGGCCTTACTAAATCTATATAAATATTACCAACATGAAAATTATCCTCCATTCCATTGAGTACATATTGAGAGTAATATATGAAATTGGTCTCAATATTCCTTTTACTAATAAAACCAAACTGTCTCTCTGACGGAAGATGATCTCTTGACGGACAGATCAAGTAATTCAATTTATCAACAATTACTGATTCAAATAATTTAGGAATTACATTCAGAGTTGTAATTGGTCTATAATTAGAAATACAACTCTTGTCACCGGATTTGAAAATTGGTACAATGTATGAGGAGTTCCACTATGTTGGAAACAGACTTTGAAATGAAGATTTATCAAATAGAATTTTCAACAATTGTGAGAAGACAAATTTAAATTTTTTTGTTACAAAATTGTGGGGATCCCATCAGCACCTGTTTTCCCTTTCATGTCAAGCTTTTCAATTTTTTTTAAGTACATCAGAAACACTTAAATCAATGGAGTTCAAAATGTTCCTGTTACACAATTTTGATCTTGAAGAGATTAAATGGTCTTAAACATTTTTAGGTCATTGGCAAAAAGAAGAAATTCAACATCTTTTATAATATCACTAACATTATTTATAAAAATTGTGAACAATAGAGGACTCAGGTTATTATTATTGTTTTTGTTATTATTATTATGATTATTATTATAATTATTATTATTAGATGTTTGTTTCTCTATTGTGTATTATCTTGTGCATTTGAATCAAAGAGGAGACATGTTTGACTCCAGATCTGAGGTAAACAAAAATTTTAGTGTCTACTGCACAGTTCAAGATAAAGACTTTTGAAGTTTATTTGGTTACCAACTTTGGCTGTGAAAATAAAAACAAGGAATAACAAAATTACTAATATGATAAAAGTATTTATTACATAAATGAAGTATAAACAAACATAATTTCTGACTAATTTTAAACTATACTTTGTAGCACTTCTGTACTATTTGCAAATCTAGTTTGTAACATTGACATTAATGTTAATAAATAAATAATAAAAAATAATCAAATAAAATTTTCTTTATTCACACTTAATGTACTATAGTAAATCAAATTTTACTTTGTTTCAGGTTCATTTGAGCGTAGCATATCTGATGGGAGTAACAGAGTCTACAACATACGCACTTCAGATAAACCTCGTACTCTCTCATTGGATTTAGATAAACAGGCCTGCCCCACAATGCCTTCAAATTCTGGTGGCTTTGAGAGTGGACGGCGCCGGCCTGGGACGTCCAGACACCCACTTGCATCGCATACAAATACCAAAGTGTTTGTTGTGTGGATTGAAAGTTTTGAAGATCACTTACATTTTCCACTGAGTATGTTACATTTTAGATGTGATTCAATTTTAGGGGGAAAATGCATGAAAATTGACTCATATGCATGAAAGTACATGGAACATTTATTCATACATTGTATTCAAGAATGACTGTCAAATAGTGAGTAGTAGGACATGTAATGAAGTGATTTTTAACCTTATTAAGTGAATAAGAAGTGAGGATTTTTGAAAATTTTCCTTGAATCTATATTGTTCCATACTGTATCTTAAATGCCCAAGAACCATCAAATTGACTGCTTGCCTAACTGCTGAATTATGGTTCTCTTGGTCTGTCTTCTGTGAATTATCTTATTGACTTCAAAGACATCACCCATGCTTTCTTCTATAAAGAATATTTATTAGAAAACATTTTAAAAAATTAAAAATAATAAAAAATTAGAAGAAAGTTTATTTTTTCCCAGAAATCACTTGTGCAGTTAATTGTCCATTCTAATGAGATCTTGTGTTCTCCCAAGCAGACAGTTCAGACATAGTTAATGGACAGCAATCTATCTGAGGGAAAATGCAGAGAAAATGAGTGATATCCAGTGGTAGGCTTCAAAGAAAGCCTAGGTTGACTACATGGGTGCGGAACTATTGCCAATCACCATGTCTCTAGAAAATAACCCATAGGGGGGAAAAAATGTTATCTTTTATGAACAATATTTCTTACACTTTGACTTATCTGAAGTATAGATTGTCAGAACCACTGCAGTGAAACAATTCATTTTTCAATAGATATCTTGCCATGAAATACTATGTATGGGAAAACATTTCACTAATTTTTCCTCTCTTACAAGCCTTACAACTTTCACCCGTGTCAAATATAGACAGAGAGAAAAAGAGAAAGAGAGAAAGAAGATACAAAATTGAGAAAAGAAACACAGGACACACAACAAATGGCTTTGTCTCAGGGAGACCTTTATTACCAAACCTTTTAGCTTCACTACAATATTGGACAGTGAATCTAGACAATAGCAACTGATGCAACAACTGTCAAAGTAACACTTTTCAGTGAAATGTTAAATTGTCAATGACAGAAGAGAGCTCAAAAACATATTATGAAAACTAATTTCCTCTGCATGTATGTTGCATGCATAAAACTGTTAAACTGCATAAAACTGTTATTTTTTTTCTTTTATAGGTGAATTATTAGTAACAGTTTCTACTGGACAAAAGGGTAGTGGTTTACCACGTCCTCAAGATCGTGATTGTTTTGTAATATTTTTACATTCTCTACACAATGGTCTCATGAGAGTAAAACTGCAAGGTCCTACTGGGAGAATGAGCTTAGCTACTCCTTTGGTGGATGGAATGGTAGTAAGCCAACGGATTTTGGGATCGTTAGTGAGACAAACTACATTGAACATGTGCCGCCGTCGTCGTTTAGATAACGATAGGTAAATACAAATATGTTACATAATGTTCAATACTTATATAAAGAGTATTAGAATGTGTCTGTTGTATTTTCATTTGTTGATTATGTAAGAGTTTAGTAGACAATTGGTAACAGGTGCTCAATATATGAGGTGCTCAACAAGCGAAAAATGTTTTACAAATATTTTATAAATAAGCTTCAGCTTATTTGCAGCTTGCATAAATCACAGTAGAGGTGATCTTATTGGTTTCAGAATTCTTATTCTGTGATCTTGATTTACAAATAGTCGTTATATTAATATTTTAAATAATTTTGGTTGTAGTTATCAGCCACCACATGTGCGCCGAAGGCTCAAAGTACAAGAAATGATTCAAAAGTATCCATGTGAGTTGACTGAACCTGAACTACTTACATCTCTCTTCAACGAAACTACTTTTTAGGTATGTTCTTGGTATTGTATGTGGTGCAATAGCACAACAGAACTTTAAAAATATTTTCATGCACTCGCTGGCTCTGCCTCAAAGATTAAAATTTGTCTTGCTTATATGTTCGTGGACTGCAGCAGTATCCCAACAAACAGGCGTCAGATTGCATGTGATCTTTCCCCTTCCCCTTCCTCTTCCTTGTCCTATCTTCCCCACTTACACTTACATACTGTACTTACTGCTGTACCATGCATCGGGAGCTTAGAACATACTCCGACTAGGACATTTGTGAGAGATAGTTGGTTGTGGAAATCCCCACAAATCGATGTGAAGGTCAGCACCAGATCTCATCATCTAGTGGGGAAAGATCACCGCCACCTCCCATGATTAAACATACGCTCCACCGGTCTACCTACGGGACTAATGACCACAGCAGTAGATGCACCCGTGAACACGAATCAATAACTCAGTCAATCAATCAATCAATCTTTCTGTGGTAGGTGATTCCAAAAGTGTTTGAAATAAAAAAATATTTTCTGCTTTTCTTCAAATTTAAATGGGTGAAAAATTCAAATTACCAGCTAAATATTGACTAGTTTTTGTTTTACAGGGTGGCCACTTTGTGGAAAACATGGAAAACTTTATTTTATTGAGGATGTAATAAATTCAATTTTCTGTATAAAATACAAAAAATACTGCAGGAAGCAATGCCTATGGGCAGGCATCTTTCATTATATAACTTTTTTATCACTCATTTGATTAACGTCTTTTCACATGCAGTATATACAGAAAAAAATAATGAAAAAGAAAGGTTTAAAAATAACAGATAATAATAAAATGTAAGTCAATACAGAAAAATATTGAGCGAAACAAAAGATAATATTCTGTTACAGAAAAAAATGAAGCACCATACTACTCTCCAAATTCATCAAAAATGTCAATAATGTATTATTTTTAATTTTTTTGCATTTAATGTTTTAAAGAACCCATTAAATGCTTTATTTCCCTCTACTAAACTATAGTATCTGCAGTACTTAACCCTTCTTGAAACTCAAACTGATAAACATTAATAATGTCATGTTTATCTATAAAACTTTAAAATCTGATTTCCCAAATTTTCTCAAAAATTTTCACAAAATTTGAGATCAATGAGATTGGTGTATAATTTGTAGCATCTTCATCTCCATTTTTGAGTGTAGCTATCATTTCAACCTTTTTTATCAGTCAAGATTTTTGGATTTCTTACAATGATCCCAACAGGGTTTGTTCACTCAAGAGTTATCACATCCTATGGCCTCCAATCCCTTTTGGAGGCGAACTCTATCTGATATATGATATGACTGACCCTTCTCAGTCAGTGCTGGCGATTATGCACATGCGAAGAACAACAACTCTAATTAAGTTTTTAGTTATGTTGTTCCAAGGTTCAAAAGGGAGTCCACAATACCACTTGGTAAAGCCAGCATCTTGAGTGAAACAAATTCATAATCATACCAGGAGGTCATATGCAATTAATATTAAAAAGAAAATATAGTTTCCTTCTGTGAAAGTGCTGATGTGAATTTGAGGTTTGGAATAAAACTTAGAATCATTTTAATTATTAATTTTTTACAATACAATTTCTTCTAAATTGTGATTTTTCATTGCTTACATACCGTTTTGCACTCCTATTTCAGCTAGAGTAAATGCCTTTTTGCATGCTTATTTTAGGTAAAATAAGTGCCTAAACTTCCGGCCTCTATTGTAGTGGTGTGTACACTCTCTTAGGGCTCTCTTATTCATTATCTGTTGTGGCACCATTCTTATTTTATTCAGTGTACTAGCAATGCTAGTAACATTGTGCTAAAATGTTTAGACTGCTGTAATGGGTCATCGGTGATTATACCAATGTGAAATCTAAATAATGTAAAGGATGTATGCATTAAATATTATGTATGTTATCATACTTTTTTTCAAATGAAAAGTTTTAGTTTTAAAAACCTGAATCCAGGATGTGTTAGTCTTCAGATCTACTGAATTAGATGTTCAATGTATGTAATTCTCTTTCTTTTGCAGTGGATTGTGTATCTTCTTCCATGCAAGTGGTATAGAAGAATACTGATGTCAATAGCATTCCATGTTTGTGCCAGGTATTAATTCAGACAAGTCCAGGAGAGAAAGCTTACTTTCCATTTAAAATCTTAATTCGTGTGCTAATGCATTGTATATACAGTGGCAAAATGTTCTTTATTTTTGTATACATTCTATTGGAGCTTGTATGTGAAATGGTGAAATATTTTCACCCTATTGAAAATATATGTGTGTGATTATAAATGTGTGTGTGTGTATTATATATATATATATATATATATATATATATATATATATAAAAATAAGATTGTAATTATGATGCATTTGTAATGAATCTATTTATTTAATTTATATTCATGGTTTTATTTGCAAAGAAATTTTAAAATTAATGTATTAGCAGTTAAAGTGTTGTACACAAATTATTCTAAACCTACACAATGTAAAGATTTTTAACTATCGTTGTAAAGTCTAGTAATTTGTTTATTTGCTCAGTTATGAACTGAGTATTCTGTTACATTGACTGGAATTCTTTATTTCTCTATTGTTTCTTTCATAAAACAATACATGAACAACAAATGTCATGAAGTGAAGGAAAATCTTCATTGGGTGTGCTAGATTGCATAACTCAAAGAACAAAGAATGTTTTTGTAAATTTATCTCATACTGAAGGTAATATTCAAAGATTAAAATACAAAGTTTACCAAATATAAAATTAGCATGATAGTGTTTAATGACTTGTGAAATGAAGATTTCCCCTCTTCCACTTCATGTGTGTATATAAAATTGATCCTGTGATATAATGAAGTTTAGTGGTCCAGTGTTAACAATTATACAGTGTTTTAGGCAAAATCACCATTAAAAAAGGAATTGTAGTTTCAATTTCTTAATGATTTTGTCAGTTATGGCAGTTTCTTTTCTTAGTTGAGTTTTTGTAATGAAGACATAAACGTAAACTTAAATTATTAATTATGGTGAAGATAATAAAAACTTAGTTTTAATATAACATAGCCTTTACAAACCTAAAAGAAATTGAATACAATTAAAATTTGTATTTCTATTATTTTATGAAAATGAGACCCATGCAGTTGAAGAAACAAACACTCACATTTGTGATGGCTCATAATTAAATTAATTTTTTTAAGTATGTAGCACCTACATTATTGTGTAACTCATGTGATTCCTTTTACGACTTCTAAGTGGAATGAATTTGTAGAAACAATAAATATCCTTCTTAAGGCACAAATTTTCTTAACTTTTTATATCACTTGTTACCTTCTGAAATAACCTTTGTATTAACAGCATAATGGTGCCTTCAATTGGTGTATGACTAGACTATGATAGTAACCATCAAACCTTTTTTCCCACATGAGTATATCTGAAGGCCACTTCTTTCTGTTTTCCTAATTTTCAGAGCTCTTATCTTAAACATTGAGTTCACTGGACCTCTTTCTCTTACGTCCTCCCATGAGGTAGTCTGAAATTGTAAGACAAAGTCTAGGAGATCCATCACTGCATTTCTCTTCTTGTTTAGATTTTGACAGTCAATGCCAGTATTACTGTTGGCATTTATAATTGCACAGTCAAGGAAATAAAGAATAGCTTTTGACTATTTTCTTGTCTTGTACCAGCTGTGGTACACTGATCTGAAGTGTCTGCACCGCCCATATTTTCATTATATGACTTTTCTATGGCAGCAGAAGATAATCAATATATGTTTTGTTCTTCTTGTCCCCGTATTTTAGTTGTGAAACTGGTTCTGCTCCTATACTAGTAATAATCCACAGGACAGACTGTCTCTCTATTTCACAAATGGCATAGCTCTGTATGCACAGGTTATTTCTCCATTTTCACCTCTTTTCATTTTTTATATACTTTAGAAATGTGGATAAATCGAACTTATTGGCTTGCAGGATATCAGTTCCCTCAATATTGTTCTTTAGTAGTTTGTCCACCAAAGATAATGTTAAGAAATGTCTGTCGAATTATTCAAAGCTACCTTTGAATAATGTAGTCACCAACCACATGACAACAGATAGACTAAATCCCAAACATGTCTGAAAGGTTTATTGTAGTTCCTTGGTACACCTCAAACTCTACCATTAGTTTGATGCAAGTGGTGCATAAAAAGTTGAGTTTTTGAACAAGCCATAATGTATTGTTTCGTACTCCATTTTCCTGAATGGTATCATCTGTTCATCAATACTGGGAGGTATCATAATGTCTTTCTTTTTTCACACATCTGTTTCTCACTCTAATCTTTGGACTGTACTATTCTACTTCTTTACTTTATGACTAACAGCATATCAGTCCACGACATGAAAGTTTACCTGGAGAATGGAAATACCTATCCCTTGACATAGCTCTAGCTGTGGCATTGCATCTAAATCAAGAACCCAAAATAATTTCTCTATGTGTATGAGCTGGTTCCATTTCAGTATTAATGTGTTGCTGGTAGTATTGAATAGTACACAGTTTAGCAATTAAGTCTTAAGTAAAATACTCCAGAAAATAATTTCATACTCAGAAGTCCCTAAAATTAACAAATAATCACATTAATGTTTTTATTTTTTGTAAGATTATTATGAATCCAGGTTTGTTTGCAATAAGAAAGTAATCTAAAAACCTTTGCAAAAAACAAACCTAACATGAATATTCCTATTCTGCATATGAGGGTGAACCTTTGATAGAAATCAATTTTCACCAAAGCAATAGTTGTACTTTCACAGTCATGTTCAGATTCACTTGTGGCTGATGTGTCATTGTTTCACAATTTGTTGCTTTATTAAATTCATCCTCATCACTATACCCAATCATATTCTGAAGCATCAGCTTCAAATGCTTTCAATATTGCATCAGGTTTGTCAAATAAATTTAATTTTGCCATCAAAATGAACTCAGATTTAAACTGAAAACTATCGAAGCAAAATTGACCCCATTACTCACATTTGTGATGTGTATTTTGACACTGATTGAATGCAAAGTACAACACAAGCAATTCATTTGTACACGTATAGAAAAATAACTTAACCACATATTTCAATTGTTTACCTTTCAATATATCCTCAAAATGGAGATAAATAAAATATCTGCTACCCATACACACTACCTATTCCCAACATGCACCATTCAAAAAGATTCGTAATGCCACTGGCCTGAAAAATACATTTGGCTTTAAATTCACTCCTTGCAATTCTCATGATCTTGTGAGACCATCCCTAACTTCATAACTGCAAATGTCCCATTTATATTGCATGAGAAATCACCCTCACAAAAGTGAGTGGTAAGTCTGTAAGGGATTAAACATATATGAATTTCAGGTATTGGACTTTCAGTCATGCACTTTGCCGTAGTAAATTGTGAATATGGGATCGGGAATATTTTGGTGCCCACTCTGATCATAAGTAAGATTTTCTCTAATTTCAAAGAGCTCTTCATTAATGTGCAAGCCCTCCAAAAGTATTCATGTTGTTTGTTGCCTTCAGTGTCCACTCTATTTCGGATAACATTAAAAACTGTTTTATCTGTTCAAAGCTTTAGTGATTAGATCCGTTATCTGACTGGACCATAAAATTGAATTTTTAAATTTTCTATTTAAAAAATGCTTTTCTAGTGTAAATACAGATTTTAATTTTTCACAATGAATGTTTAATTTCTACATTGATAATGGAATTATAATGATTACAAAATTACAGCAAAAAATTATCTGTACATTTACTGTATACTTTGTGGTATAGAAATTTAGTTTGATGTGTTAATATTTTAAAATTAATGAAAGATATCTCTCAAAACTCCAATCCAAGGAAAGATGCTTAATATTTTTTGTTTTGGAAGATTGTTCCCAAAATGTGCTCAGTATTATAGATTTTCATGAAAAAGATTCATGTATTTTTATGTTTGTATCATTGTAATTTAATCCATATGTATTTCATGATTTTTTCATAATATACACTCCTGTTGAAAAGTATTATTTGTTTTCTTGAATCAACACATTTCCTTTCAGTTTAATGTAAGAGGTTCCCAAATATTTACTTATGTATTGCATTTAAACAATTTATATGAGGTCATGCATATCTCCACAATGTTTGAAAGATCAGTAGCCTTCCATTAGATTAGTTGAATACAGAGATGACGATCAACATTGTTATTTGAACAGTCTGAACTGTAAATTAAACAATGCATTTTTCTCAGTGAATCATATATCAAAATATCAAAAATGTTTATCATTTATTATGATCATAAATGTTTATACACAACTGTAGGGCACATATTTTTACATCTACATGAATAAATTCTTAATGAAAAAAATATAATCTTCTGTTTTTGGCAAGTTCAAAAGTATTTATAATTTTATTTATAAAGGGGGAGGTGATAATATGAGCCCCCACTTTTATTTCAACTTTTAAAAAACCAATTAAATGCTTTTTTAAAAAAACAAATATGATAACTTTATCTTCAATATTTGTTTAAACATTTTATAAAATATGAACTTTATTAACTATTCAGGAAGTGGGTAAAAATCAATCATTCAAAAGAAGTCTTGTTTTAAAAACTAGTGGTGTTACAGAATGGCACATGCTTTCATGTATTAGGGTTTCTATTTTCTGTGGTATGGGCTAGCTATTCGGGCTTGCCAGCTGCAATCTATTGCCGCCCAAAATGCATTTTTTTAAAAATTTTCTCAATTTTTCGGTTTCCTAATAGTAGAATCGAAACATTACTTAAAGAATATTAAATAAATAAGAAAGAAGAATTACTTTAAGAATATTCATTAAAGAAAAAATCTTAAAGAATTACTGTATTATTAATTAAATAAATAAAAAAGAACAGGAAAACCTCGTCCTAAATGGCAATTTTCATTTCCAGCCATTTTAAGTAAATGGTGATTAAGCATTACTGTAAATGCGAAATTTGAAACTCTTTTTTCACAGACAATTTTTGAATTTTTGAAAACTTCACTGGAAGTCATTTAAAGCACCTTAACTCAAGAAATGCAATACTGATTACAAATTGCTGAAAATGTGCTTATTAACAACATGAGAGATATTTCAAATCATTGCATTTGTGTAATTTTTGAAAAGACAAAAGAATATCCCAAAATCAACTTTATATCATATTAAACACTGCATTTAGCACTATTCATACAAAAAGTTTGGAGCTTTTCAAAAACTTAAAGATTTCTGTGAAAAAGGGCCTTAAATTTCACTTTTTCAGTAATACTTAAACACCATTTTCTTTAAAAGTGGCTTCAAATTTTTCAACAAAATTTCCTTTTTTGGACGATATTTTAGTCCTTTTTTAATATTCTTAAGTTAATATTTCGATTCTACTGTTGGGAAACCGAAAAATGGAGAACATTTAAGAAAATGTACTTTAAGCGGTGACAGATGGTAGCTGGCAAGAGGATAGGACAAGAAAGTAAGATTGCCCAGACCAACGAAATTAGAAAACTAACAGGTACAAGAAAATCTGTGTCAATCTGTAGCACCACTAGTTATTTTCTCATATATGTACGTATATACAGAGTAATATACGTAGTATACCAGGAGAAATGGCTCAGGGCATCAACTGATTTCACTACAGTCCCTCCGACAGGAAAGTCCTAGGTTCGAGTGACGGTTCACTGTGTGTAAATTGGCAATATAGGTGAAAAAAAGTCAGAATCTCCTGAGCTATAAATTGTTTACTGTTATACAAAGCATATATTGAAAGTAAATTATAATGTAATGTATGGAACAATTTTTTTGAAATATTTTGACAGCAAATGTTTTCTTTTGCAGAAATGAAAATTCGAGCAATAGGTGTCAAATCATGAACTAAGAAAGAAAAACGCAAATAAATATAGAATGAAAGAGGATAAATGCTTAATAAATTAAACTAATTGTTAAATTATTAAATGTGAACTCGTAAGAGAGGAAATAAAAATATAGATTAGCCAATACAGAAAAAAAATTTAGAATTAGAGTAAAAAATGATTATTACAAACCACTAAATGATTAGTCTCCGTCTGATGAATCCTCAGATCAGATAACAGCATTTATTTCTTCAGTATCTTGTTCAATGTCTAGCAAATTAACTATTTTTTAATTGTTTCTTTCGTTTTTGGTTTAGAAGAACCCTGGAAACTTGCAATTTTTGGATCAGATGTTATGAGAAGCCTTTTCTTGAGATCAGTGTTAGTTGTCTAAACTTGATGTTGTCCTTGTAAATAGATCACTGAATATTTTGTTGTTCTTCTTAGGTTTCTTCAGAGTTCAGTACAGAGGTTACATCTTTTCATGTAATAGAATTTTATGGAAAGTTATGAGAATGCAATAGCAGATGAGAGAGAAGCCTTAAGTGTCATTAATACATTTTTAACTAGTGGTGCTACAGAATACCACAGCTTTCCTGTATTAGTTTTCTATTTCCATTGGTCTTGGCTTGCTACTTGGACTTGCCAGCTGCCATCTGTCGCCGCCCAAGGTACATTTTGTAAAATTTTCTTAATTTTTCGGTTTCCTATTTGCAGAGTGGAAATAATATTTTAAGATTATTAAAGAACAGTAAAACTTCGTCCTAAATCGCAATTTTCTTTGAAAACTTTGGAACCGTTTTTAAGAAAAAGGCGTTTAAGCGCTATTGTAAATTCGAAATTTGAAGTTTTTTACGATTTTTTTTTTTTTTTTTTTGAGTTTTCGAAAACTTAATTTGAAGTATTTTAACTCACAAATTCAATACTGTTTACAAATTGCTAGAAACGTGCATTTCAACGGCGTGAGAGATCTTTCAAACAATTAAAAAAAAAATACACCGAATAGAAATGTACGTCATATCAAAAAGTGGAATTAGCACTATCCGTTCGAAATGTTTGCAGAAAAAATTGGACCCGTTTTTAAGAAAATTGCTTTTGATCGTTTCAGGAAATTCGGAGTTTTGAGCTAGTTTTCACAGAAAACGGAAAGTATTCGAGACACTTTATGTGACATTATTTAAAGAGAATGCACTCATAAATATAATAATGTGAACAAATTGCTGCTAATGTCAATATTAACGATGTGGAGAAAGTTTTAAAAAATATATTTGTGTAATTAAAAAACAACAAAAAATAGGGCAACATGGCGTTTATGTCGTCTTATAGAGTACATTGAGTACATCCCTACCAAAAGTTACAAGAAAAAAAAATGGAGCTTTTTTTGAGATAATCTTGTTTTTGTCATTTTTTTAAAATTGTACATAATGTAGACAATATTGCGCGAACTCTATTCAAATTTTCAAAATGTACATGACCTTAATGAAAGAACTCACTATGGAGAACAAATTTTATTTGAAGGAAAAATCTCTACCTATAATTTTGTAATTGTAGGAAGATACCGAAAAACATCGTAGTTTTTAAATTTTCGAAAACTCAGTGTTAACCGTCAAAATCAGATTTATGCCAGTTTTATAAGTGTATGTTACTCTATTCGTACAAGAAATTTAAAGAAAAATTTTGGAGACGTTTTTGAGAAAATGTTGAAAATGTCCGGAGGGCTTTATGTGAAGTACCCCCAAATTTTGAAGAATGTTTTTCAAAATCTCAAAGTTTCGACTCGAGGCATATGGGCTGGGGTATCTTCAATTTGGAAAAACATCCTACGCATGGTTTAGACGCTAGTAGTATTCAGGCACCGGTCGGACGGACAGACGGACGGTATCAGTGGACCGCAAAACCTTTCCGTTGTCTTTCCGTTGAAATCTCGAAATCGATTTTACGCTACATTACATAACTTTCCATGTACTACGTATTACTCCGTATATACGTACGTATACGGGAAAGTAAAAATTATTTAAATTAATTTTTCGCATTTTCACCATTATATGATGCTTTATTATGTCAAGATTTATTCCAGTTATTTCTGAATTGCTACAGCCACTTTGTGTTTTAGGCATGTTGACTAACAGTACTAACTCGTGTTTTACTTTTTATTGGAATTTTTTCTTCCTTTGAGATATTTTTTGTTTAATTTTCATCTGCTCTCCCGTGACTTGTATTTTCCTGTAGGTGTGAAGTGTACAGAAGGCTCTCATTAGCGTTATCTACGAATGAAGAGGAGTTATTCGAAAGGAAAGAAATTCTTCCTTCACCTTTTAAAGATGGTTATTGATGCAACAATTGCCCATTTTCTTATTGTTGAACCTCTTAGGAGAAACAGTTGGAAGTTTCTTTACTACATGTAATTAGAATCTCCTTTACCTTTTCGTCATTTTATTTCAGTAGGTGATCCCAAATTTTCAATGGATGTATTTAACAGTGGTTTTACTTCTTTTTCTTAGCTTTAGGACCACACAAAGGCTTAAGTCGACGGTCAAATCCTGTACTCACATAATCTATTGAAATGTTTAGAGCAAATTTCAATGAATTTATATATAATTTGAAGTCTTCCAAAAGCCACACAAACGCTGTTTATGCTTCACACATTTTCCCAGTCTTTTGATAATGAACTGATGAAAATTGAGTTTTCATGAGGCTTATTAAAGTACCAGTAATAGTTTCGTCGCCTAATTCATGTAAAACAAACGAAAGTATGGTGTCACATGTTGCCTCCGTGGAGCTTTCGAATCGAACATGAAATAACGTTCACCAAGAAATGGAGCGCTCCTCTGCGCAAAAAAATTAAAACTTATAAGTGCGCAAGTATGCGTAGTTGATCTTTCCTGATTCCGTCTACCAAAAGAACAAGGTTTAATATAGGCGCCAATTATGGTAAATTCTATATTAAAAGCTTTGATAAATTTGTAAAATGACGTGAAAATAACATTAAAATTACATACTTTTTCAAAATACCCCACTAACAATGAAGAGCACTTTTTACTTATCTTGAGCTACTACTAAAAAGAAAACATTCAAAACGCAATACGTGAATGACTACCGTGATATGTGTCAGTTAGAGCACATTAGTCTCCAACACGAGATGTAGTGAAATGCAACTTACAGAGGGGTCCA